TTTTTGGGTTCGACTAATAGGTCGTGTGTGTGTGTGTGTGTGTGTGTGTGTGTATGTGTATTTTATAGACAATGTTAATGACTCAAAGCTGCTTTAGTAATATAAAGTGGCATAAGTTTTACCAATTCAAGGTTTATAAATTAAAAGTGTTCAAGTCAGTCTTCACTGGAAAAAAAGATTGATTTTTAAATATTCCATGAAACAAAATTTAGCCTACTATTTGCAACTGAATAAATGTCATTTTCACTTCTCACAATATCAAGACATTTCTTTCATGATTTAAAAATAACATTTCTCCACTTGGAATTGTGAAGAAGTAACCAAGAATAGGAGATAATATTTGCAATCTACACATTTAACAAGAGATCAATAAACAGAATATATAACGAGCATGAACAACTCAATAGGAAAAAATAAAATCCACAAATCCAATTGAAACATTGGCAAAAGACCTGAGTAGACATATCTCAAAAGAAGACATACAAATGACTAAGAGGTATATGAAAAATGGTTTAATATCACTAGTAATCAAAGAAATGCAAATCAAAACCACAACAAGATATCACCTCATCCTAGTTAAAAATGGTTTTTATCCAAACAACAGGCAATAGTGGATGCTGGCCAGGAGATGATGAAAGGAGAACCTTCAAACACTGTTGGTGCGAATGTAAATTAAATTAATGCAGTCACTGTAAAGAAGAATCTAAAGGTTCCTCAAAAAACTAAAAGTAGAACTACTATATAATCCAGAAATCTCACTGCTGGATATATATCCAAAAGAAAGGAAATCAGTATATTGAAGAGATGTCTACACTTCCATGTTATTGCAGCACTATTCACAACAGCCATGATGTTGAATCAACCTAAGCTTCCATCAGTGGATGAATGCATAGAGAAAATGTGGTACATATACACAACAGATTATTATTCATCCATACAATTAATGAAATATTGTCATTTGCAACATCATGAATGATATTATAAGTGAAATAAATCAGACATAGAAAGACGAATATCACGTGTTCGTATATAGATATATAAACTCCTGGAGATAGAGTAGAATGATGGTTACCAGAGCAGAGACTGGGAAGTGTATTGGGGATGGACGGGGAGGGGAGTTAACTTTTGTCTGTGCTCTGCACATAACTAATTATATATCTTGATGATGACTTTTTATGCACTCTTCATTTAAGAAATGGAAAATTGGTATAAAATATGCAAGCAAATTAATAATTTTAAGATATTTTCCAAACTAGAACTCAGGACTAAGAAACTCAATCAAAACCGCTCAACTACATGGAAACTGAACAACCTGCTCCTGAATGACTACTGGGTACATAACGAAATGAAGGCAGAAATAAAGATGTTCTTTGAAACCAATGAGAACAAAGATACAACATACCAGAATCTCTGGGACACATTCAAAGCAGTGTGTAGAGGGAAATTTATAGCACTAAATGCCCACAAGAGAAAGCAGGAAAGATCTAAAATTGACACTCTAACATCGCAATTAAAAGAACTAGAGAAGCAAGAGCAAACACATTCGAAAGCTAGCAGAAGGCAAGAAATAACTAAGATCAGAGCAGAACTGAAGGAGATAGAGATACAAAAAACCCTCCAAAAAATCAATGAATCCAGGAGTTGGTTTTTTGAAAAGATCAACAAAATTGACAGACCGCTAGCAAGACTAATAAAGAAGAAAAGAGAGAAGAATCAAATAGACGCAATAAAAAATGATAAAGGGGATATCACCACCGACCCCACAGAAATACAAACTACCATCAGAGAATACTATAAACACCTCTACGCAAATAAACTGGAAAATCTAGAAGAAATGGATAATTTCCTGGACACTTACACTCTTCCAAGACTAAACCAGGAAGAACTTGAATCCCTGAATAGACCAATAGCAGGCTCTGAAATTGAGGCAATAATTAATAGCCTACCAACCAAAAAAAGTCCAGGACCAGATGGATTCACAGCTGAATTCTACCAGAGGTACAAGGAGGAGTTGGTACCATTCCTTCTGAAACTATTCCAATCAATAGAAAAAGAGGGAATCCTCCCTAACTCATTTTATGAGGCCAACATCATCCTGATACCAAAGCCTGGCAGAGACACAACAAAAAAAGAGAATTTTAGACCAATATCCCTGATGAACATCGATGCAAAAATCCTCAATAAAATACTGGCAAACCAGATTCAGCAACACATCAAAAAGCTTATCCACCATGATCAAGTGGGCTTCATCCCTGGGATGCAAGGCTGGTTCAACATTCGCAAATCAATAAACATAATCCAGCATATAAACAGAACCAAAGACAAGAACCACATCATTATCTCAATAGATGCAGAAAAGGCTTTTGACAAAATTCAACAGCCCTTCATGCTAAAAACGCTCAATAAATTCGGTATGGATGGAACGTACCTCAAAATAATAAGAGCTATTTATGACAAACCCACAGCCAATATCATACTGAATGGGCAAAAACTGGAAAAATTCCCTTTGAAAACGGGCACAAGACAGGGATGCCCTCTCTCACCACTCCTATTCAACATAGTGTTGGAAGTTCTGGCTAGGGCAATCAGGCAAGAGAAAGAAATCAAGGGGATTCAGTTAGGAAAAGAAGAAGTCAAATTGTCCCTCTTTGCAGATGACATGATTGTATATTTAGAAAACCCCATTGTCTCAGCCCAAAATCTCCTTAAGCTGATAAGCAACTTCAGCAAAGTCTCAGGATACAAAATTAATGTGCAAAAATCACAAGCATTCTTATACACCAGTAGCAGACAAACAGAGAGCCAAATCAGGAATGAACTTCCATTCACAATTGCTTCAAAGAGAATAAAATACCTAGGAATCCAACTTACAAGGGATGTAAAGGACCTCTTCAAGGAGAACTACAAACCACTGCTCAGTGAAATCAAAGAGGACACAAACAAATGGAAGAACATACCATGCTCATGGATAGGAAGAATCAATATCGTGAAAATGGCCATACTGCCCAAGGTAATTTATAGATTCAATGCCATCCCCATCAAGCTACCAATGAGCTTCTTCACAGAATTGGAAAAAACTGCTTTAAAGTTCATATGGAACCAAAAAAGAGCCCGCATCTCCAAGACAATCCTAAGTCAAAAGAACAAAGCTGGAGGCATCACGCTACCTGACTTCAAACTATACTACAAGGCTACAGTAGCTACCTGACTTCAAACCATACTACAAGGCTACAGTAAATCAAAACAGCATGGTACTGGTACCAAAACAGAGATAGACCAATGGAATGAACAGAGTCCTGAAATCATTACCACACATCTACAGCGTATCTGGTTTTGACAAACTGAGAGAAAACAAGAAATGGGAAAGGATTCTCTATTTAATAAATGTGCTGGGAATACAGCTGTAAGTAGAAAGCTTTAAACTGATCCTTTCTTACTCCTTTTATACGAAAATTAATCTGGCATGGATTAGAGACTTAAACAGACCCACACATAAAAATCAGAGGAAAACCTAGGTAGTACCATTCAGGACAGGCATGGGCAAAGACTTCATGTCTAAAAACACCAAAAGCAACGGCAGCAAAAGCCAAAATTGACAAATGGGATCTCATTGAACTAAAGATTGCAACCAAAGAAACTACCATCAGAGTGAACAGGCAACCTACAGAATGAGAGAAAATTCTTGCAATTACTCATCTGACAAAGGGCTAATATCTTGGTGAACCCAAGCAAAGAACTCAAACAAATTTACAAGAAAAATAAACAACCCATTAAAAGTGGGCAAAGTTGATATGAATGACATTTTCAAAAGAAGACATTCATACAGCCAACAGACACATGAAAAAATGCTCAATCACTGGCCATCAGAGAAATGCAAATCAAAACCATAAAGAGAGGCCATCTCACACCAGTTAGAATGGCGATCATTCAAAAGTCAGGAAAACAATGTGTGCTGGAGGAGATGTGGAGAAATAGAACACTTTTACACTGTTGGTGGGATTGTAACCAGTTCAACCCATTATGGAAAATGGCATATGATTCCTCAAGATTCAGAACTAGGATGTACCATATGACCCAGCCATCCCATTACTGGGTATATACCTAAAAGATTATAAATTATGCTGCTATAAAGACATGCAATAATGCATGTTTATATTGCAGCACTATCTGATAATAGCAAAGACTTGGAATCAAACCAAATGTCCATCAGTGACAGGATTGATTATGAAAATGTGGGCACATATACACCATGGAATACTATGCAGCCATAAAAGGATGAGTTTGTGTCCTTTGTAGGATGCATGGATGCAGCTGGAAGCCATCATTCTTAGGCAACCATCATGGGAATGAAATCAAACATCACATGTGTTTCACCATGGTGGGAACTGAACAATGAGATCACTGGACTCGGAAGGAACATACACCGGGGTCATCATGGGGGAGGGGGAGGGAGGGATTGCATTGGGAGTTATACCTGATGTAAATGACGGAGTTGATGGTAGCACAATTACCATGGCATACATACATACGCAACAAACCTGCCCATTATGCACATGTACTCCTTACAACTTAAAGTATGAATAATAATAAATAAATTTAAAAAAAAAAAAGAAATTAACTGGGGATCCATCAAAGCACAAATTTTGTTTGATTATGTGCTTATGTATTGATAATTAAGCATTAAAATATTCACTCTTTTGCACCAAAAAAAAAAAAGATATTTTCCATTTGAAAATAAGGGGTAAAATTCTTATAGTTACTTATACTCTAACATTCTAAGAAATTGAAATTGTATTACACAGCAAAAATATATGCATAGATCATATATTAATAAACAGGAATCCTGATAACTTATACTGGGAAAAAACTGATACCATGAAAGAAACGCATTTTTCTTCTCAAGTGCCATTTTCTTAATTTTATAAACACAAAAAGCCTGGGTTTCTATTTGATAAATGACTTCTTCATATTTTCACCTCCTCCTTATTCCGGAGGCTAGATTAAGTGGATTCAATGATAATGACTACTGTGTAGAAGAGAGGCTACCTGTCTGTGTCCAGGGCATGGTTAGAGTTAGCTGTAAGTACATAAAAAATAAGGCGGTCCCATAGAATATGGTGACTGCCAGCATGGGAGCTACACGGTTGAGAAAGTACTTCTGTCTTCTCAGCTGAACGATCCGTGGATGGCAGAAATGATGAATATGTAGGAGACAAAAGACAATTAGAAGGAGGAAATGAATGATAATGAAAGAAGAAAAGATTCATAGCTGTTTGGAGCTAGTGTCTGAGCAAGTTAGCCTTAGGAGGGGTGAAGTGTCATCACAATAGAAATGGTTGACAATATTGGAGTGGCAATAGGAGAGATGGAAGGTTAGGATGGTGGAAACAAAAACCAAGATGCTGCAGCTGTGGCGCCACAAATAAATGCAGATTTTTGGGGACATCACCACCATACATCAGAGGGTTAAGCAAATGGCCATACACGGTCATAGCTGGAAGCCAGTAGTAAGCACTCAGCCGTCATGAAGGCCAGGAAACAGCCTGTCCGAGCTGCACATGCATTGAACGAAACAATATTTTGTTTGTACAAGAAATTCCTAAGCATTTTGGGTGGTCGAGAAGAGCAACAGAAATCAACAAAGGCTAAGCAGAAAGAAGACATTGGTTGGTGTGTTGAGTTTTTCATCTGTTCTAATGAGTAGGATCAAACCCAGATTGCCTACTACTGTGGAAAGGTAGATGGATAAGAATAGCACAAAGAGGGGCGTCTTCAACTCCTGACGATCTGTGAGGCCCACAAGAATAAACTCTGTCACCTGGGTGCAATTGATCTGAGTCATACCCCTTCAGGTTGTCTGGATAAAAAGAGGAGAGTTTAATCAAGCTTAATATTTGTAATTTTTTTAATACCTTAATATCCTTAAAATCAATTTTATTGTTAACATGTAAGTGCTAATTTAGTATTAAAATTATTAGCTCACTTGGGGTCTGGGGATGGGACGGGATGAAAGGTAAAAGAAGATATTTTGTGGGAACACATATTTCTCTCTGCATAAATTTATTATATTTTATAAAGGTACTTTACATACTATGTCCATGTGTACATATTATTTAGCTCCCACTTATAAGTGAGAACATGTGGTATTTTACTTCCTAAGTTACTTCACTTAAGATAATGGCCTTCATTTCCATCCATGTTGCTTGCTTTCTTTTTGTGGCTGAATAGTATTCAATTACCCTTAAAAAGTAAATGTAAATTTGCCATTATGGCTATGAGGAAGTAAATATAGTGAATTTTGACAAACTTAGCATTTTTGTGATAAAGAGTTGCATCATTTTGATGGCAAGTAACTATTGAAAAATGGCATTTTGTAGGTATTTAAGTCAAGCAGGATGTAGTGGAAAGAATTCTAGATAAAATTGGGAGACCTGGAATTTATTTGTCATTCTCTAGCTACATAAACTTTGGCACATCACAAATTCAGTTTGTTCTTTAAGTTTCCTAATCTATAAAAGGTGTTATTTTCTGTCTAATATAATCATTGTTACTATCAAAAGAAAGTTATCTCCTGCACATAACAGGTATAAATATATTTTAAATTACAAAATAATGTTAAACCACAAAACTTGCTTCCCTGATGTATTAAAAGTTACATGTATGTAGAAGTCAGCAGAATCAGTTTACCACCCAGCTGTCAATGAATTATAAAAGAGATTATGCTGACTCCTACATACATAGTATGTATGGGTGGTTAAGGTCCTCCCTCTAGGACTTGAACATAGGAAGTCTGAGGAAATAAAAACAAAAAAGTAAGAACACATGGAAAATCCTTAAGTAATGGAAGTAGATAGGTATAGGTAAACTTTTACATGTAATGTACCTTTTAAGTTGAATACAGAGAAAAGTGTCTTAACATTTTAGTTCCTGAAATATAACCTCAGCAAATAATAAATTAACAAAAGAAACCTAATTGATATATTTTTATTATTTCCGGAAACAGCAGGGGAATATATCGGGAAAAGTTAGACACGAAAATTAAAAATAAAAATTTTTGAGTATGTGTGCATGCATGTTTCTACCACTTTCTATGAAGAAGATAACCACAGATAATATTTATCGCTGCTGCTGCTGCTTATTGTTACATGAAATATGTGTATCATCAAAGTTTTTAAAGACTTTTTGGTGTTCATACAAATACATAAATTTTGTTTTGAGATGATTAAGCAACTATTTGATAGGAAATGTAGTTTTCATGTCTGGAGATTCTAGGTAAGGCTGCACTGTTTGACAACTATAAGAAATTTATTATCTCACCTTGAAGTACCCCTTTATCTCATCTCAAAGGTAAAATGTGCAATATAGTTGAAAAAAAATTATACATGACCTTTTACAATATAGTCCATGATGTTTTCCATCAAAATTCCAGCCACATCTCTTTCCTTCTTCCTCAAACAACACCGTAATCAATTAGAAAACTTATTTTGCAGTCCTCAAATGCAACATGCCCTTACATGTTACCCAGCTTTTATATGTGCTTTTGCTTACACTTATCTCTACCAGGTGAATGGCGAATGGAGAGCTGCAGTGAAAACGATTTGTTCTTCAAGGCTTCCCTGATTTCTAGTTCCCATGCTGTGTTACCATCTTTCATCTTTGTGTTCTAGAAGCATTGTATATATAATTCATTTACCTATATCACATATATGGCAACCACCTGGTTTCATATATTTTCTTTTGATAGACTACTGACTCCATGGGTGGAAGCCATGACATTTTAATTAATGTCTTAATGTAGCCCCTTCTGGATGCTTGGTAATGGGAAATTAATAATTAAAATTTTTCAGTAACCTTTCAATATTTATTTCACTGGTTCACAATTAATGTTCTTTACTTATAACAAACACATTAAATGACATATTGATAACTTGGTTTTGATGTGCTCACTTCTTATTTGGGCAAAAATAGGAAGGACAGTTTTAACGTAAATTGCAATCTAGTCAATTAAGTGTCCAACTTTTCCAAGTAGACTAATAAATTTCATCTTGGCATTCCCAAACTTTTTTTTCATCTCATACCAATAAGAAATATATCTTATATAACACATACATATGTAACAGAAATAAAAGTATGGAAAACACTAGCCTTATATCAGAAAATGCCATCTAAAATGTTATATTCTAAAGTTCATTATATTCTATGCTACTTTATTTTTAAAATGCTTATCTTGACCTTAATTTTGAAACATATTATTTGAACTTACTTGGGTAAAGGGTGTTCCTATTTCTTCTCCAAGTGGGTTTGGGCAGCAACAGAATATAGGGTTTTGACAGTGACTCTGTCTCATAGGATCTTATTTAGGAGAATGATGCAAGTAAAATGATCAGAAAAAATAGTTAATGACCCAAGGGATTCCAAAGCAGGCTACAGGTAAAATAACATTGTTCTCAGGCTTTGAGGAGCCAAAGATCTGTAGCTCTGTCTTAGCATGACATTATTGCTCTAATGTTCTTATTTTTGGAACACTATTTATTTATCAATAATTTTATTATTAATAGTGCTATTTATTTATTCATATTTAACTTGTTCATATTGTTGTTCTTGTTGCTTATTTATTTATATTCTTTCCCTTTTGTTGTTTCTTAGTGATAACATTTAGATTTATTTTTAAAAGAAATATAAAATTTTCCTTGCAAAAATTTTTACAACACATCTTCCAAAGAACTAATTTGCAACTCCCAATAATCTATTCCAGAATAATTTAAGACATGATACTCTTTATTTGGCTTACTCTTTGAAGTGCTCATGAAATATTTGTGTCTTTTTTAAGGATGTTGCTAACTGTTATTACTTAATTTCTATAGTTCCCTGGTCTATAGAGTAGCCTTTCAGATTTTTTTTTTAGCCAATCTGTGGCCATAGCAAGAGAAGAACATTATTATAATACTTATTACAGAACAATGCATCTGCTAGGAACTGAATTGTATCTCTCACAATTCATATATTGAAGCGTTAACTCCCAGTGTGATGATATTTGGAGACAACAACTTTGGGAGAAAATTAAGATTAGATAAGGTTATAAGGGAGGGGGTTAGTGCCCTTATAAGAGACACAAAAGTGTATGCTCACTCACTCTCCCTCTTTCTTTCTTTCTTTTTTTTTCTCTCTCTCCTCTATGCTCACAAACAGGAGGTCATGTGAGCACACAGCAAGGTGGTGGCTGCCTACAAGCCAGGAAGAGAGACCTAACTAGAAACTGAATGAGAAAGAATCTTGATCTGGGACTTCTTGTCTCCAGAACGGTCAGAAAATAAATTTCTGTCATTTAGACCACACGTCTAAGTTGTGGGGTTTTTTTTGTTGTTGTTTGTTTGTTTTTTACTGTAGCCTCAGTTGAATAAGAGAGCATCTCTAAAAAAGCAAAATAATCCTCTACGATGAGAAAGGCTTTGTTGGGGGAGGGTGGTAGGGAAGAGGATGGGTGGAAAGCAATTACAAAACTACTTTTTTCCCCTCCAAATATAGTGTATTTTCTGCTATCTGAGGATGAAGATGGACAAGATCCCCCAAATATGTCTTTTATAGATTTCAAATAGGAAGTGAAAATCAAAATTGAGTTTATACATAGTCAGCTGAAAATACATAAATGAGAGGGCCAATAAGACATTTGATACAAACACTGGGATCCAGTCATTAGCTGATCCCTTAGCTAGCTGAGCAGAAAATCCCAGTGACCACACACTACAGGAAATACAGATTTTACAGAATTAGTCCAAAAAGTTGCTAAGGAAACAAATGGCCACAATAAAAATTGTAACTATAAAAAGTGCTGGGCAAAACCAGCAAACCCAGAGTGTATGTATGTGCATGAGAGTGTATGTGTTTGTGTGTGTATGTGTGTAAGGTCTGATTGCTATAGTTGATACTGATGTAAAATGTCCAGGTTTGACAAAAATTAGGAACAAAGAATTAGGAAATTAAGTTCTGTCGATGAGAAAAAAAAAGCAATCAATAGAAACTTTTCACTGAGCATCCTTGCTGTTGGTCTTTCTATACAAAAACTTTAAAATCTCTGTTATAAACATATTAAAGAAAACAAAAGAGTCCACACACAAGAGTTTAAAGGATGAAACCAATATCTTAGCAAATGGGAAAAAAATTAAATATATACTTTTTAAAGAACCAGATGGAATATTTGGAGATAAAAATACAATAACTGAAATGAAAAATGTACTAGTTAGCCCAAACAGAATAGTGAGAAAGCTGAAGACAGAATTAGTAAAATTGAAAATAGGTAAATAAAACTTGTCTGTTCTAGAAAACAGAGAAGAAGAATATTACAGAAAAATGATTAAAGTCCTGGTGACTTCTGGGGCACCAGAAAGTGGTACCAATAAAGTGTGCCATATCAAGTGTACCAGTAAAAAAAGGTGGGAGTCCCAAAAGGAAGGAAGGGAGAGAAAGGGGAAAATACTTGAAGAATAAATTACTGAAAACTTCTCCAATTGAAAAAAAAAAAACAATTAGCATGTGGATCTAAGGGACTCAACCAAACTTGAGTTACATTAACACCAAGAAACCTTTAGGCTAATCAAAGTCAAAGTGTTGAGAGTCAAAGACAGCAAAAAATCTTGAAAGTTGTTGATTGATTCTATAGAAAATCACAAGTTTAACAGATGACTTCTTACAAGGAAAACATGGAATGTAATGGGGTGACATGTCCAAACTGCTATAAGAAAACAATTGTCTACAGGGACTACTATATCCAGGCAAATTATATTTCAGAAATAAAGGTGACTTAAAGACTGGCCTGGGTAAATGAGATTAAGATAATTCATTGCTAGCAAATCTGCCTTATAATAAGTACAAAAGAATGTCTTTCAGAGGATAATAAATTATTTTCTATGAGAATTTCAGTCACAGAAATACATGAATCCCACTGGAAATGGCAGATATGTCAATCGTTTTTTATATTTATTGACATATTG